TATGATTCGAAGTGGATTCTATGCGACGGATCATCTCCAGGTAATCAGCAAACGACTCAGATACCAGCAGAAATTACCAGATTTTTCTCTTGAGAAAGCGTTTCACTCAGAGTACGTACGTTTCGCGTTGGACTCATAGAGGAGGGAGTCAGAGAAACGAAAAAAAAACATAGAGGTACCTCATCGGCATGATTTACAGGAACGCATCTACCAACGTGAAACACTTAATAATGGTACAAGCAAGTTCAAAAGCGACAAGGGTATCCGGCAGGACGAGCTTTATCACTCAAGTCGTTTGTAGCAGCCCTAGAAGTGGTGCTCAAGATATTCCGTTGGAGAAATCAGGAACCGAACAAACATGGTTAATCCGCTTGGTTTTCAGGTCGCGTTCTGATCTCCTCAAGGTCTTCAGAAGAACCTCGAACAAGAATCCAGACGCGGTACGACGTCCGTATGAAAATGGGACCGAAAATCACTCACGTCATGTTCATCAAATGCCTGACCGCGCAGGCCGTTGCAATTTACCACCTTAGGCTAGTAGCGCGTACAAGTTAATTTTCCTGGATTGTGCAAAGGATAAAAGGACAGAAGATGCATGACGCACTTTCAGAAGATCATGCGTACGGTATACGGTATTTTACTTGCAGTGCTCTGTTGATGTACTCCGTGTTTCGATCGCGAGATCGAGAGACGTGAAGCACGGTTACCTTCAGACAATTCACAAACACAAACGCATAGCCAATACAGTCACCGCTGCCTCAGCTGTTGTGGTTCTTTGATGACCGAACGAACTCGTTCGAAAGGGAACACAGAAGGTGCTTGGGCAAGTGTGAGGCGACCGTTTTAAAACGTCGCCATACGACAGTGAGTTTCCAGTACTGGCGAAGAAAGAACTGACTGCTCGATTCAAACGTCTTACCCCTTATGATGTATGGCCGTGAATGATTGCCTCCAACCAAGGCCTAAGAAAACAAACTGGTGGTCACATGAAGAGGGATGGAGTGAAGAATGAGGAAATTCTTCTTCCGCAACCATATTCGACAACGGAATGGATCGACAGACGTGATCGCTGCCTTTTTCGATGCCAAGAGCCGGTCAGCCGGCTATTTGGCTCGCCCAATGGACTGCTGTTGGACCGGCAGTCGGGAACCGTCACATACGTCTACTGAGGTTTCGATGAATGTGCCGGGACGATCCGATGGTCAAATTGCTTGGTCAGCGGTCGAGGCATATAGCGGAGAACAGAGAACACTGCAAAGGCATCGATTTTGCGTTCGTGGTGAACTCATAGCGAGAACCAGTCAGATAATCAAATTTCAAACGACAGCTTCGAATATCAAGTTAATTTAAGAGCCAATCACTGATCTTCAAGTGCTTCTGATAGGTGCTTCAATCATCCTGTCTCTGGATAATCCGGATTCTGACGGATATTCGCACCGTTCTAATTGCCACAAAAAACTTGTCATGAAAAAGCCGGAATATCGTGATCCTTCACTGTCCATGTAAATGCCAATGGCGGTTCAGTTAATGCACGAGCGCCAAATTCTTCGACCACACTGTTCAGGTTCGAACGCGTTGGTTTGCCCACCCCCCCATCGGAATGCGGTGTGGCATCCGCATACCGCAGGTGCTCAAATACTGTGGTTTCGTGGTTTGCTGAATTAAATAAGGAAATGCTCTGCCATAATCTGTCTGAGAACGAGGCATTTTTCCTACCGGCGGCATCGAACACTATCCCTATTGAAAGTCGGTCAGAATGCCAGGTTCATTCGGTGATTCTTGACCATTATCTGCAACGCTCTTTTTGCTGGACAGCTATTTTTGCAGACGATTTCACGTTCATAAAACGATTAGACTATTGATCTTGGCTACAGGTGAAATTTAGGCACCAATTATAATGGAAGGCCTTGATCTGCACCATTCACTTTCTTACGGTGTGCTGATTACATAATGATGAAAACGACGACTGCAGACAATAAGCTGAAAATTGGCACATGGCAATGGAGAACACGATTTTATATGGCATGGGCACGGCAAGCAAATGCACGTCTACCAAGAAGAGACTTTATCGACACCCCAATCAGATGAGTTGAAAGTTTTGGATGAGACCGATGAACCGTGACAAAGGCGAAATTCAAACCCCCGAGTGAAGACTGCTGCAGGGTCCTCGTTTAATCCTAAGGTCCCCGTTTAATCAACAAGATCCCCGTACCTCACAACCAGCAAACATATCTAGGCATCAGATGTTTATTATAACGGCACAGCGGACAGAAACCACTGTATTTTGCAATGACCAAAGGTAGATGTTCCGCGTACCAGAAGCACAGTCTGGTTTCGTTCACTTCGCACAATACAGCAGAGTGAGACGACATGTTAAAGACAGGCGACATGTTCGGAGGTACTCCTGAGATAGCCGTATTTCCGGCCAGTAGGCCTTTTCTTTGGCGATTGCAATTCGATGCGCATTGATCTGCTGCACCGTTTCTGCTCCTTGCTGTGTACTTCTCATATTTCGCAAAACTGCCCGTTCCGTTGGGAACTTGTGGGATCGAAGAGAACACTACTGCTTTTATCCAAGTGCTTGATCTCTAATCGGCTATGCACATCATCACCAGAGTCAGAGAGACAGACTTATGACACTAAAAGCTATGGAAAATCGATCATCGCTGTTTTAAGTAACTAAGTACGATTTTACTGCTTGAACAGCGTCATATATCGTGGAACATTTCGGCGAAACATAACTTTGGATGTACAGATCTGGTGATAAGGGAAGAAATTAACAGACTGAGCATGGTTTTGCAAACTATGGGAAGAATGTCTTGCTCAGTAATGATCAGAGGCAATCAAAACCGAATGGAACACATGCACAGTTCACATATCCTTTTGAACATTAAACGAATTCAATGGTCACGCCCTAGTGCCTTCTGGGCCTCCGAGACACCGGGATGAAGGAGTGACCGTGAAGCAGGTGGCGGCAAAATAAGCTAATATATTATGCCCTATTAGACTGGGACGTGGCAAGCACTGGGAAGGCACACAAAGAACGAGTGAATGTGCATCGTTTGTGAGAACACTGCTAGCCACAAGAACACTTTCGGACACTGACCGATTAATGACTTACATTGGCAGCTCCGACATGTGTATGCTGTAAACTCTGGAGAAACGTTTCAGAGATCGCTTTACGACAAGGCAAGTATGTACAGAGTTGCAGAGATCACAAGATGGAAGACTAATGACTGTGTGTGAGAAGACAAGAATGCCCGTACCGTAAAGTGACGGCTGTGTAAATCGCGACATATACATATCGCAACATTCTTACCACTCCTCACGGTTTCGAACCTTACTCCTCAAAGCACAGCCTCCCGGCCCATGGTATCTTCTTTTCACTGTGGTGGTGAGTGTAACGCAACTTAGTCCGTTCATGACGGTACCAATCGACGGCAATTGTCAACAATATCCCGTCGGTGAGCCGAGCTACAAGCCCTGTCCCACCCCAGCTTCCTCTTTCTGCTTCCGGCAACGACTTCCTTCATTACCGTATTCAGATTGATCAGGACGTGATTTTTCCAACATTCCTCTTTTCGTGGCTCTCTTCGTGGCAGATAGCTGGCGCTCGCTGGCCTTAGTGAGAGACCACTATCTCACAGCCATTCAACATTTCCGGTAGGACGGTAGAATTGTAGAGGTAGGTACGGGGTTATTTCAAGATGTTGCCGAGGAAGACGTCCCTGATGTAATGCAACAAGTGCCAACCGATCCTCTTTCTCCGATGAATCTCCCTCACTTGATCATGGTGTATGGTGGGTACATGTATGTACCGACTCATTGGAGCGTTTCGCCGTTTAACCTTGCCGCGTATTCTCAAGATATCTGATCGCAGTATCTTCGTCACGGACCGAAACTATCTCAGTCCGTCGTCTGCGGTTCCTTTTCTCCAGCTCCCGTAGTATGCCTTGTAGCTGACTGGCGGTTTTTGCAAATAACATCACGTCACCAGGGAACATTAATTGAGCTGAGTTGTTCAACGTTAATGTTTTAATATTAAATACGATGAACAATTTTTGCCGTTTGTTCAAAATGAATTATTATAATGATAAGCTAAATGTCATTTTAACTGTCATAACAAGTCACCCGGTGGCTGTGAGACAGTAATGGGAAACAATTTAAATATAACAGTATCGTAGGCATTGCTGGATGGCAGCAACAGGTGTGTACTGACGAACTTACAAGAATACTGGCTGTGTGCCATTGATAGGGCTACGGTAAGAAGGATATTGCGGAATTCGTTCGGTGATCGTATCCTCAGTACAGCAGTCACGGGCAAATTCAAGGTGATAGGTGTCAATGTGAAAAACAACGAGGGTAAAAAAATTCCCTGGTTTCGGTGCGTAGCTGAAAGTGCGGACCAGCGATGAACAGCGGCTGTTGTCGAGTGTTTCAGCGGGATAACAAAGGGCCGTTAGATCGACCTCTTTGGCCTACAAGGACAACTATGGTAAGGGAATATTTGAACAAGAAAGGAATGGAGGAGCTGTTGCGACCGACTCAGTGTGTCTGTGACTACTGAATAATCACTGATGAAAAAAAATAAAAAACAAACAATTAAGCCGTGGGTGGTGTCAGTTAAAGCAGGCCACACGTTTAGGCACAGTTCTGAACTCGTACTTTAAAGACCATTCGAAACAGGCTGATCGTTTCTACCAAATGCGTAGTAAAACACCAAGAAGCTCAAAACCTCTTTCAGGTCCGTGGTGTCGCATTCGATCGATCAGCTGATCAGCGACGACGAAATGTCGTCCGTCGGTCAAAGGCAATTATGGTGCGTGAGAGCCAGACGTCGAAGTGCTAGTTGGTCGGTGATGGGCGTCTACCGATTATTGAACGTACAGCAAGACGGCATAATGACGCGCCTCTATAAGTTCATGCACTTCGCATGAGAGGCGATGAGGGAGAGGCTAATCGCGAAGCATTATTTCCACTTTCCTCCAGAGTTTAATAGATCAGCCACGTGGCGTCCTCCTTGTTCTTCGTGACGTTAAGAATATGAACTTATTGCTCCTGTTTTGTGGCCTCAAGCAGCAAAACCTCATCTGTTCCAGACGAATCCTCAGTTGGGAAGCAATCGATCTGTCGGCCGGCCGGACGGTCGTCATGGACGGCTTTTTCATTATCAAGCGTAGACTTTGAGGATCCGGACGCTCGTTCCGCCTTCCGCAACCGATTCCGTCGCGAAATTGCCACCAGAGGAAGCGTCGAGGAACGACGGTTATGGGCGGTTTTAATGGCAATCGTCGTGATTTGAACTTTCGAGCTGAAGAATGCTTAAGAGCTTCTGTTGAGACGGTGCAAGCAGGACAACGGCAGACACCGCCGCCGAGACGTCCTCGTTCCTCGTTCTCGTTAGCCGCAGTGATACTTTTTTCAGGTGTTAGCAACGCCACCTCAGACCTCACCGAGCGAATGACCGCCCGCCTCGAACCGGAAGATTTTAGGGCGGTTTGCAAGGAAGTCCATATCGGAAGGAAGACGAGCATGAGTGCGAACAATATTCCGTTTTTTTACGTAAACCCACTCAAGCATTGCCCGATCCTCAGCGCAACTAACATCGGCTTAGTAACAACTCAAGAACACTGTAGCGCAAATATCATCACAGCACTATGGACATGTATGTACTTTCCTGTTTTACATCATGAGATTCGCTTTGCACACAAAGCAGAAGAAGATCAACGACTCCTACAAGTTATGATGTAGGATGAATGTGAGGTGACTCCAACGGGCAAGGCAACAGCGTGCAATAATCATAATAGCGTGACACTGGTGCTGCAAGTGCTTAAATAGCATGGAGCCGAGGTCTGGTCGCAATCAGCCCTCCAGCAAGAAAGGGGCGACGCAACACGTCGGGAAATCTGGTCTTGGAGGAGATATGCGGAAGTTGCGTTACGGTAGTGGCATCTGCCAATTGGCAGTAAACAACAACAACGTTCAAATACAAGTATATAACTAAGCGAAAGCAAATTTTATCGTAAATTACACAACCGTTCTTGTTTATTGCTGCTATCTATCTGAGGTAGCCCGTTAAATAAGCCATACCTCCCTCATCATGGACTTTCAACATCTGGAGTGTATACGTAGCATTCAGGAAGATGATCGGCTCATAAATTATTAAAAGTCAGTCCATACCGATTCAGAACGAGACTAATACATTTTCCAGTCCAGTATCACTGAACTGCCATGTCATCATAGGAGCGTATCTGTGAGAAAGCTACCTGCCACAAACAGGTGGATCGTGTGATTCAAGGTATCCCTACAGCTGATACTCTGTTAACACTTTCCCTCTGAAATCACCCAGACAAATCAATGGAACATCGATTTGGCATCGTAGCAACAGCGCGCAAAGCACAGC